GTCTCCGATCGGGATGTGGGGACCGGTCACAGCTGCACTCAACCGGATCTCACGCAGGCGCAGGTGCAGGAGCGTCGTGAGCGGCGAGGCCAGTGACCCGGTTACGCTCCGGAACTGATTTACCATTGGGATGGTTGACCTGCCAAGGGAGGTTTTTTGTGACCGTAAATAGGACCTGTCACCTGGGGTACCGAACTGGGATAGGCGAAGGGTCGGGTCCTTCAACCTCCCTAGGGTAGATTTCGGCGCCAGGAAGTAGGATTCCATAGGGTAGATTTCGGCGCCAGGAAGTTGGTGCCGCCTTTGTTGCTCATCCAGCCTCTACCTCCCTAGCTGCCCTAGCTCGCTGGTTACCAGCTGCTAATCTGTCACACCAGTAGCTAAGGTGTTCGGATGGTTCAGTCCAGGGACATCACCAGCTGCACTGGATGACAATGATTTGCAGTCATCTACAAGACTTTAAGAAACGGTGTCTATGTGCATCTTACCCCGACGGCCCCTCTAAGGGTTATAAACCTGTTCCCCATATCACTCGCCTAGGTTTGCGAATTGAAAGAAGCTTCGCAGCCGCGACCGACCGGGCCAGGCGCCCTCCACTTCATCACAGCAACGCCAGAGTTCCGGCACTCCCAGCACAGGTGCCCAATGCCGCCGCCAACAACATCCCACAGAGGTCGATGTGCAATACGCGATGAACTGCGCGGACTTGGCCACGACGGCTCGTTGAGGGAGGTGGATTTGGACCGTCTGTTTATTTGTTTGTTTGTTTGTCCAATGTTCCTCTGGCCCATCTCGGGTTTGGTCAGCACACGGTGTGCCCTGTGAGGGAGGTGGAGCCCGCAGGTCTCAGTATTTGTGGTGCTTTCAGCGTCACACACAAGTCTAGTTGAAGGAGAACCACTTCTGATCCAAACATGACCGAGACTTCCTGCTACAGGAAGTCGACTGCCGGAAGAGTCACCCATGGTTACCTGCTGAATAGGCCAATCGCCTTCTGGGTGAGTCGACTTGCTCTCAACACCTTGCGCTTGAGCACAAACAGCTCGGCGGTTGAGCGCCGATCCGCTGCCGCTGCCGGTCCAATCCGGCGATCCGGAAGTGGCCGACACCTCACCTTCCCCAACACTGAAGTTCAGTGCCTGCCAGGCAAAAAGTGTGCAGACAACACACTATTTGATCGAAAGATTCGGAAAGGACGTATATGTGATGTATAACATCTCTGCCTACTTTTTCCATCTATAGAAAATGCCAGCCCCAAACGGGGGGCCATTTAGTTGGAAGATCTAGGTCTAGCATGGTACACCTCAGTACACCTCTTTCCCCCGAAGGAGAACCAAACCACTGGACCGACTGGTGGTTGAACTGGACACCCCCAGCTCGCGAATGGGCCCGAAGGCAGAACTGATTCACCAAAAGCCTTAGACCAGGAGTCACAAAGGGGCGGTGTTTGGTCCCCAGTGGGTAATGGGCACCCCTAAGCTCCAATAAGCACCTCTTTGCGACTCCTGGTGCCCAAACGCCTCGATTTGTTCACAGCCCAACTGTTTACCGAAGCTCAACCGATCGGTGAGGTGAGAAAACCCCAGGAACCGCTGGTCCCAACGACCTGTTTGGGCAGATTGACCTCCGCCCCGCGGAATGAATTCCACCAGCCTGACCTGATCGGTCGGCCCAGTCCCGGTGGAGCAAAGGCTTGGAGCATGGGAGCGTCTATCAAACCCTCCTCCCCCTTTGCACCCCAAGCACCCAGCCAACAGGTCCGGGTGTTTTGGCCGCCCCAAATCCTTCCTCAAGGATCCAGCCGTACCGAACCTCAGGTTCGGTACGACTGGAGCCTCCTGGCACCTGCATGTCTCTCGTTGTCGAACACATCACCGTACCTCCTTCTCAGGCAATTTAAAGCTTGGTTTCGATCGCCCTCCAGAAGGCATTTCAGCTTAAACCTTCGGGGCCCTCGGACCACCGCGTCCGCCCGAAAGTGCGGCCAAAGTCGGGGCTCCAGACAAAGGAGGCCTTGCACGCGTGCTTGGATATTATGGGTAATGTGTTGAGCTTATGGGTGATGTGTTGAGCCTCACTCTTGTTTAGCCATCCGCAGTTCGTGTGCTCCTCCGATACGTAGGGTATGTGGAGGCACGTGGCAAAGCAAGAGAGGGTGAAACAGAACACACATATACCTCCGAAGCAGAATAGAATGGATGTCTTTAGTAGACATCCCTGGAACTTCTAAAGAATTCGCGTGCGTGCCTGTTGCCTGCTTTTATGTGAAAGGGCAAACAGTTTGCACAATTGGAAGGCCCTGGTAACCAGGTATGAACACCATAGACCATCCTCTGAAAAGTGGTGCCCGCCAGTCGCCCATCGCTCTGTGCCAAGCCTGTCTAGCCCAGGCTGAGTGAACCGCTTGGTCGAAAGCGTCGGAAACTCGATGTGATCGATTGCTACCTCCATGTATTTACCCTACACCTCCAATTACCTCCTCAGATGGTGTTTGGACCCTCCAAACCCACCCCAAGCACCTTCTCAGAAGGTACGACTGGAGGCCTAGGGTTAGTGTTTTGAAGAGATTCATGTGGATCTTGCCAGGCAACAATTGCAAGCTGACGTCCATGTCTGTTGATCAAACTGACGTGCCACGACTGAGGAAAAAGACGAACAACAAACCATCAACCAGTCACACCCAAAGGGTGGTCACACCTAAAGGGTGGTCTATGGTAGTCGGTCAGGGCCCTTGTGCCCCGAAGCCCATGTGTTTCCCACCAATCACCATCTGAAAAACGTGAGGTCCAAGTCAGTGTGATCAATCTGGGGTTGGGGGCAAACGCTGAGCCTCGTGCTTTTCACCACCTCGAAACATGAATCAATGATGTTATTTAAATTTTTAATTCCTGTCTTTGTTGATCATCCTGTTCGTTAAAGTTAGACTACCTGAACTTTCTCCATGAATTCTTCATTGCACATACTAGCACCCGCTCAAACACGTCTCCAATAGTAATTACCAGCTGCTTCCAAGGGGTCGTCAATGGATATCTCCACACTACTTACAGGTCTCCATTGGGCACCCCTTGGAAGCGCCAGGTATATACATATATATATATATGTCTCCTCTGGAGACCTCTGAGCACAACAGCGGTGACGGTGACCTGTCGAGTTGGGTACCGTGGTAGGCTTTGGGTGAATCCACTTAAACATAAAACATTGGAAAAAAAAAAAACAATATAGGCAAAATACTATGCAACATATACCATGGCAAATGGCATATGATATAAAATAAATACGTATAACTAATTGAAACAATGTAAAATATATAATATACACATAATATGACACCAACATACCAGGATCATCCTGTTTGGGCGTCCTGGCTGGACTACCCTACACTGCTAGACGGACCTCCATTGACCCAAACAGGATGATCCTGGTCAACTTGTGTCCATCTTTCAGGTGCCCGAGCTCCCCCGTCGCTCCCTCTCTGGCGCCTCTCCCCAATTCGGCAAAGGTCCTCTGCAGGGGAGGCCAGGCCGGCTGAGCTGCGAAGGGGGGTGAACAGAGCCACCACCTTGGCACCCAGGCGCCCGTTTCGCCCAAGCGCACGCACTGTGCGGTGCACTTGGCCCCCCCTGTTTTGCGACTGGGTTTGTTTGGGGACTGCAGGTTACATGGAATGGTGCGCCAAACACGACCTGTCTGGGACTGGTTAATATTTACAGATCATTTGGGGCGCTTGAATTCTGGATTTCGCCAGCCCAAACCGGTCGTGTCGACGGGCGCCATCGCCATCCCCCACCGGTCGCGTCGAAACACGCCGCCCGAAACTCGGCTCTAATAGCCTTCTGTTCGACCATTGCAAACATGGTTGACTTGTCTTTTTGGGTATAACGGTGGCAGAAACCGTAGGCCAGGACGCCGTTTCTGGGCTCGCCCGGCGTCCGATAGAAACCGGCCCCTATTCGCACTCAGACCCGCTTGATGCGCCCATCGGCCAATGGGACGTCCGATGCCACACCTGAGACAAAGCCTGGTGTGTCGGCTTATTCTGTTCACATTGGTAGCGTTTGGTGAATGCTCCCAGCTTGGTATTCCAAAAAGAACTATTGAACAGCCTCAGCCAGCATCTGCAACCTCCACGAAATCTCCGTCTCCTCATCTCCCCGACGCTTGGGTCCGTCCTTGTGATCGGGTGCGAATGCGCTCCTGCGGCGGTTTTTTCGTCTCCTCATCTCCCCGACGCTTGGGTCCGTTGTCTGCGACTTGTGAATCGTTTGGCCCCTTTTGGTGGAGAATGACGTGCACCCCAGGCATCCCCAGGACTTCCAAGGGGGCACGTTCCAAAGGACACACTTTGTGCTCTTCTCAGTCAAGTGCCTTGCCATGCGAAGTTCATCTTAGGGTGCCTTATAAAATCGATGTGACAGGGGCACCCGTATCCTCCATGGCTAGCACCCTGACATGGACTTAGCATGACTTAGCTCTGGCCATGTGGAACTATATAACTGAGACAAAAACGATTCACATCCCTACCCCTGTGACATGGGGATTCACCGGGAAACATCGATCAGTGACCTCACCCAACAGACTGCAAGAGAACACAAGAACACCATGAACGCCTGTGGAAGTCCCCCAGTCCTGCCTCCAAGCAGCTAGACTGTCTAGCATCAAAATCACATGGACCGGTTCCTCCCCGGTCCCTCCAACGACAACAACAACAACAACAACCACAAACATGTTGAGACAAACAGAACCTTCATGTTGAGTCGGAAGCGCGGACTGGTTTGAAGCACCAAAAGAATGAGAAAAACACGTGTGACAGATGTTCAAACAACTTCAAGGCTCACCAAGTTCCATCTATTTACAGCTTTCCCTCCCCACCCATTGTCCATCCATCCATTGGGCCCCAATGTCCGCACACGCGCGGGGTTTTGTTCCACGGGCGCGCGGACCAGGAAAACCCCCTTCGCAGCGGGTGGGGCGGGCGGTGAACATCTCCGGCGTCACTTCGCTCATGGCTCCGGCTTCACCTTCGAGTCCGTTTGAGACCTCAAAACAGGTCGGGGAAGGGAAGCAAGTCCTTTTGTTCTGGGGGAAGAATTTCCACGATTTCCCCTCATAGTAGGTAATTGAAAGAACAGCATACACCAGCACCACGGGAAAAAAGAAGAAAACCCTGACGAAATTCCACCAACAAAAGAAAAAAACCTTCATATTCTATTTGCGCTGGCTGGCTGGGCGTAGACCGAAAGGATCCGCATGCATTCCAGGAAGTCATCACGGCTTTGTCTGGACTCCTCAGCGCACGCGCCAACGCCGCGGTGAAGATGGCGCCGCGGTGCACGGAAGATGGCGCGCTCGCGCGCGTTGATCACCACCCCTGAGGCTGGGAGAAGTCCTAAAGACCCGGATCGGAGCCTTTCCTGGGCATAGGTTGGGCATCTCCCATGGCCAGGAAGGCTCTGCGGATATTTACCCAGTGGATGGTGGTGAATCATTTGCAGGCCGACTATCTCGATGTTTTTGTTTACCAACTGTTACAGGTGGAGACCGAAGGCATACTGTACCCAGATATGGTGTTTCACCATTTCATACTTCTAAGCAGTGGGGAAAACCTATCAGCAGCAACCACAGAATGAAGATTTCTATAGTTCACTATTCATTGTTAATATTTGTTCATGTGTGTGTGTGCATTGAATTGACTTAACAACTCTATAGAGACTCTGATCTTCCAATCGGCCTTGAACTCAAAGAAACACCATGGACCATCCATCCATCCGCATCCCAGAACTATCTGAAACCAAATCGCCCACCCCCTTCTGAGAAATCGAGAATTCCGGAGACTGAAGCCTCATGACATGACCTGGACCCTGAACCCCATGTCCAAAATGCAAGCCCATCTGGGCAGCCACGGTTCCAGGGCACACTACACTGTCACACTGTCACTACACTCCCTGAAATTCATCATGGTTCAGTGGATGGGATCACCTGTTTGGTAGGAGGAACATTGGAATCCAGGGCCAACCTGTTTTGGGGCCATGCCATCCCACGAACCTGAAAACCATTGGGTTGTAAAGGAACACATGTCTTCCATTTTAAGTTATGTCCACCAGAGGTGGCTTTATTCTAGAAAAAGCCAATCTAAAAAACAAAAAAACGCAAACAAACAAACAGTGCAAACCAAAAAAGCACTGGCAAAACAAAGAGCAACCAGGACCAAGAAAGCAAAAAAAAACAAAAAACACTAGCAAAACAAAGAGCAACCGAGAAAGCA